AGCCGGACAGGTGTGTGTGCGTCTGTGTATCTGTGTGTATGTAGGGAGGCCTGCATAGTATGTGGGCTGCGGAAGAGAAGCCGGAGGGAGGGAGGGGTGTGTGTGTGTGTGTGTGTGTGTATGTGTGTGTGTGTGTGTGTGTGTGTGTGTAGGCCTGTGTAGTGTGTGGGCAGGGTAGGGCTGGGTTCTCTCTTTGTGGAGCCATTGGGCCACCCCCAGTCACAGCCCAGGCTGCTGGCCTGCAGGCGTGAGCTCACCAAGTCACACTTGAGCACCCAGGGCCGCCCTGGGCCCTGTTGGGTTGGCAGGAAACTCCCACAGCTGCTCCGACTGGGCAGACGCCTGGCTGCTCTGCAGGGCACAGTCTGCTCACCCCCAGCCGCCTGTGAATCCCCAGGCCAGTGTGGCACCATCCGCCAGGCTCCTCGCCACCCGACAGTCAGGACTCAGCGGGGTCCAGACCTCTCTCAGCTGATGGCAGCAGACCCAGGATCAGCCAGATGCAAGAGCCATCTGACACCCAGACTCAGTGTGAATTGCTCCCCCCAGACAGCAGCGGGTGGGGTCTGACACAGCCAGAGATGGGCCTAAAAGACAGCGAACAAAGAGACACCAGCTCCTGCAGGTGGGGTTAGACCAGGGGATAGCGCTGCACAGTGGGTCCCCACTTTCCAGGGCTTGACTCCCGGCACTGGAAGGAGTAGCCAGCCTGGGGCCACAGGGACCCGGCTCAGAAAGGGTCCTGGGGGATGCTGAGGAGAGTGGCCCCATTCTGGGGGGAGGAGCCTCATGTCCCCACTTGTCCCTGTGCATGTCTCAGGCAGTTTCTCTGCAGACAGGCTTGTCGCGACCGGGCCTTCACACAGACCCTGCCCACGGGGAGAGCCGCTGTCAGGGCTTGTTGGGGTGTAACGAGCAGAACAATCCGAGGGCTGCACCGTGCACCTCCTCCTGCTCCAGGTGCTGAGACGGTGTGGGCCTGGGCCTGGGGTCTGTCCCCGAGTCTGCAGCTCCCTCTGACCCTGAAAATGAGCTGCCTGCCTGTCTCTTGTGTGCGTGAGCCTGGGCAGACCGCCTCAGCCACAGCAGCGCCCACCCACCATTTTGTTCCAAGTGGCCATCACCAAACATGAGAAGTTTGGAGCCAGTTGGTTCACGTTGTCCATCAGGAAGTATTGACCAGTCATTTAGAGGGAAGCATGAGGGGGTTTTGGTGGTTGGGCCCAGGAGGTACCACCCAGGCAGAGACCTCTTGTTGCCGACCTCCCCGGTGCCACTTAGCTATGACCCCGCCCAGAGGCAGCAGGAGGAAGTGAGGCTGTACCTGCCGCAGGGGGCACCCTGGAACCAGCTGATGCTTGCACAGTTGGTGGTTTAGTGGATTAGGGCTTGGTAGGATACCATCAGGGGTGGCCAGGCGGGGAGGGGGGGTCTTGGAGGGCGACTCCCCCGCTCTTCCATATGTATGCCTGAGATTCGCCCCTTAGTGAAAACGTCCCCACCTAGGAACTGGGGTTCATGGTGCCGTGAGAGCTTAGGGAGAAGCACCTGGAGACGGAGCGTAGACAGGAGGCCAAGTTCTAGTCCCAGCACCTCGGAGCATGGCCCAGAAACAAATGACACCAGGCATGCTTAGGAGTCTGTCTCACACATAGTGAGCCTCCAGTGTCCAGGTGGTTTGGTTTGCTTGAGGACCACCCCTGGCAATACTCAGGGCTGACTCCTGGCTCTGTGCTCAAGAATCACCCCTGATGGGGCTCCAGAAACCATATGGGGTGCCGGGGATGGAACCTGGGTGGACTGCATGCAAGGCCAGTGCTGTAACCCTTGCTCTGGGGGTGCCTCCTAGACGTGACTACAGCGGAAGAGGGGCGGCAGAGGGGCGCCATCCCCTCGAGTGCCGCCGTGACCTGGCTATTTCCCACACTGAGAGGATAGTCACTTGCTTCTGCATTTCCTTTCCCCTGCCATGGCACAGCTATCTCAGACTGCCCGAGGAAGACGATGCTAAGGGTCCAGCATTGTTCTGCTGTTTCAAACTGTCACTTTGGCCATTCTGAACCCGACCTATTGCTCTGTTCCCAGAGAATAACTTGAAACCTAAAAGAAACTTTTGAAACCTGTGGGATCCTGGGGGTGGACCTGAGGACTCCACTGTACTAGCTTTCCAACCCCATTGGTTTGCTTGTGTTTGTTTTTAGAGGAAGAAAAAAAAGGCTGGAGCTGGAGAGATAGTACGGGGGGGGGGGGGGGGGGGCCTTCACTTGCATGCACCTAACCTGGGTTCCATCCCTGGCATTCCATGTGGTCTCCCGACCACCGACGGGAGTAACCCCTAAGTACCACTGGGTGGGGCAAAAAATAAGAAGAAAAGAAAGAGACATCCAAGGCCGCTGCTTAGCAGATCTCTGGAGGTTTCTCCTAAGTCTGGAAGCTTCAGGAATTAGGGGGAGGTTCTCAGGCAGGTTTCGGGGCTCCCTCGTAGAAGATGCTGCTTGTGAACCAAGGGTATGTTGGGGAGGGGTATTCTGGGCCCAAATGCCCGTTGGGCTCCCACATTTCTGGCCTCCCTCTGCAGTTTTCCCTCTGCTGTCAGCACTGGGTTTTGTTTTCATCAACATCTTAACGAGTAGTTGTGACAAATGGTAACTGGCCCGAGCAAATGATGCATTTCCGAAACGAAACGATGCCTGGCGCGGGGCAGAGCAGTGGCCCTGCTATTTTAAAATGGGATTTTGTAAAATAAACATGCGGGCCGCTTACAGGAAATACTAAGTTGATGATTAATTGGTGCTGGAGCTGGCCTTGCACTTAACAAATGCGCCTATGTCGGGGAGCACTCACTCCAGGGGTGAGGTCTCTGCGGGCGCCCCATTCATTGCTGGGGGAGGGGAGAGGAGGGCACTTCAGTGGCTTGTTATGCCCTGGGCGTGGGCAGGTGTGGGCCAGGGTGGTGGATGGCCCCAGGCCGGCCCGGGCCACACTCCCTGCATTGCTCAGTAATTGTTCCACTCCTGCTCTTTCTCTGAGTGTCTAGAAAATAGTCACCGTTCCAACCTCCCTGTCCAGGAAGGTGGTGCCTGCTGGCACATCCCGGCTTGCCAAGAGGCCGCTGAGTCATGAGTCAGCACATGAGCTGCTACCAGAGCTGCAAACCAGGGAGGAAGTCGAGACATGTCTGAGGCCAGTTTAAGAAAGCCACTAGGCAAAGAATCCATTGTCCCCTGGCACCACGTTGGCCTCCCAGGAACCACCCTGCCCCCTAGGCAAGAACAAGGCCCCCGGCATAATTGCTCGGGAAACACAAATCCCCACCCCCCAAAACAGAAAAAGACAAGACTCCGTTTTCTAATTACAGAAACTGCTCATTGTTACCAGGGACATTACTAGGCCCTCCCTGACCTCTGACTTCTGGAGGGGCGGGCAGCAATAGGGGCCCAGTCGCTGCTGCAGCTCCCCTGAGTTCCAGGAGCCCGGGAGTTCACTCTCATGTGTCACTCCTCAGGGGTATCCTATCAGGACCCCAGCCTGCTGGATGGATGTCGAGCATCTTCCAAAATCTTCTGGAGGGCCTGGACACTCGGCCCCATTACCTCTGGGCTATGTGTTTTGGGACCAGGAACCCCCTGGGTGAGCCTCTCTCTCTTCATCAGAGAGGAGCCACCCTGGGCTGTGTGTCCATCCCCCACACCCCCAGGTCCTGGAGCCTGCGCCCTTAACCCCCTTTCCCCTGGGGTAAAGGCCCGCGTGCAATTAACAGCTTTTAAGCCCTGGAACCGCTGGCTGGTGTCCCCACTCCTCCCCACTCAGCAGCTTCCCCCACCCGCCACCCTGGCTGCTTTCACTTCTCACCAGCAGGCCTCAGCCCCCCAGAGGCAGCAGCCATCCCAGCGCAGCTGAAGGCAGAGCTCTGGGCGTCTGGGGACGGGAGGATGCCTGTTAATTGGCTTCAGGGCCATGGCCTCTCACCACTGCCCACCTGCTTCCCTCCTCAGTGCCCACAGACAAGGCTTGAGGGGAGCAGTGTGGGTTTGGCAACCAGGGCACAGCCAGAGTTCCCATGGATGCCCCGTCCCTCAGCCCCTCTGACCTAGTCAGGCGGTGGTAGGCTTATCAGCACCCAGGGGTGCTGGAGGATTGGCGCTTACCAAGCAAGTTCTGGAAGCATTGCCACCTTCAGTGTAAAAAAAAAAATCTCATGACAGAACCAGAGCTTTATAGTAGAAGAAGCGGGGCAGGGCACTGGCCATGCACACAGCTGCCGAGTGTGACCCCTCAGCACCCTACATGGTTGCCCCCGTTCTGCAAGGAATCAGCCCTGAGCTCCGCCAGGTATGCCCCCCCCCCAAAAAAAAAGAAAAACTTATTAGGAGACGGAAGGAATTTTTGAAACCGAACATCTTTTTTTGTGTGTGTGCCGAAACCCAGGAACAAGCCAGAAACCAAACATCTTGTCTGGAAATAGGAAATCCTATTTATTCTAATCACGTGAAGGAAGAAGGGTTGGGTAGTAGAGCTGGGGGGGGGGGGGGTATGACAGCAGTTTGCTCTCATGGGGCCAGCCTGGTTTCATCCCCAACCCTGAGCACTTCGGGTTAAGTCCCAACCCTCTCCACATCCCACTTGGAAAAAAAAAAAGACATCAAAAAGAAATGACTGGTCTCAGATTTTGGGGGTCAAAGTAGTAGTGCATGTGTGCTGTGGACTGTTTGCAGACCAGAGCAGGATTACAACATACTTTGGTAGTGGGAAAGGAGAGTAGTTAAGACTTTATTTCCAGTGGGGAGGACACTTGCCTTGCATGCAGCCGACCCTGGTTCCATCCCAACACCCCATATGGTCCCCCAAGCACCGCCAGAAGTGATCCCCGGAGCACAGAGCCAGGAGTCAGCCTTGAGCAGCAGTAGGTGTGACCCAAAAACAAGCAAAAAAAAACAAAAACAAAAATTGAGCCCAAATGGGTTCAAGCGTCTGAGCCCAAGTGTTTCTCCTTCCCGCAGGACTGAGCACTGAAGGCATTTACCGGGTGAGCGGGAACAAGTCGGAGATGGAGAGTCTGCAGAGACAGTTCGACCAAGGTACGACCAACCCCTTAGAGCCGCCACGGGGGAGGCGAGGCCCAGGGTTGGCATCTCCCGGGCATCCCTCAGGACCAACCAGGTTCTTAAGTTGGGTCTTGTTCACATGTGGCCTGGCCAGAGCAGCCCCTCGAGAACATACGCACATGTGTGCACACATAAGACACGTGTGCTCCCTCTCTACAGCTGGCCGTGGGGAACAAGGGGGGAAGGGAAGCCCCACTCCATCGTGCGGGTAGGATTCAATAGTGCTACACACTGAAGGGCCAGTTTCACATGTGCAGGAGCCACTTGGTAGTGGGAGAGACAGCCCGGGGACAAGGCACCAGCCTCACACAGCAACCGGGGTTTAGTCCGCGGTACTCCCTGGTATGATCCCTGAGCAAAAAACCAAAGAGTTTTGGGTTTGTACCCCACCAACAAGAAGCCGTGACTCTTTCTCAGTAGCTGATTTCTTACAAGTCAGGAATGCAGTGAAGTATGTAAACAGAAACTGGAGCCGAGGTCAGGGCGCCAGGCGGGAGGGGCAGAGGGGGACATGCTCCAGCGGGCCTGCTCCCTGGGAAGGCCAGGGCTGGCTGTGGGCAAGGTGGGGGCCGTGTTGGTCACCACTGTGAAGAGAGCCCTGGGGGGCTGTCCAGCTCTTCCCCGAGTGGCACCACAGAAGACATCCCTCGGGTGTCTCCCCGGGACCCGGCCCCCAGGCTGCGTCTGTGTTCACCCACCCCCGACTTCCCTTCAGACCACAACCTGGACTTGGCCGAGAAGGACTTCACTGTCAACACCGTGGCCGGCGCCATGAAGAGCTTTTTCTCCGAACTGCCCGAGCCCTTGGTCCCCTACGGCATGCAGAGCGACCTGGTGGAGGCGCACAGTGAGTAGGGCATCCCTCAGCTGGGTTCCGGATGAGATCGGGGTGCCTCTGCGCCTGTCACCCCTCTTCTCCCATCTGTCACTGAAGAGTGTTAGCATGTGGCGGGGGGGAGGGGGAAGCGCCATGGCCCTGGCCAGATGGCCACGAGCTGCATCTGCCCCACTGTCCCCTGGGGAGCCTTGGCTGAGCTTCCCACGTGGGTACCATCTCCCATGTTGACAGCAATCCCCCACTCTGACCCGCGGGAGCCCAGCCCCCTCGCCTCATCTCCCCTCTGCCCACCAAGCTCCAGAGGGACTTTGAGCAGCACAGCACACGCTCAGGCTAACCAGAGGCAGATGCAGGGGGCAGGGGTGCTCAGGAGGCTGGGAGGAGGACCGTGAACCCTGAATCACTGAAGCTGCAGGCACCCCAGCCCCGCCACCTCCCCTCAGCCCCCAGCGGGGGATGTCTGCACACCTTGTTGGGAAGAAGGGGAAGCAGGAGCCCGGCCGCATTTCTCTGTGCTTGGCGCCATCTAGAGGCAGCCGGAGGTCATGCACCCGCAGAACCCCCATTGCTTCTTGGGGAGTTGCTGAGGGAGCATCTTTGTGTCTGCAGGGGCTGGGGCCAGAGCGGAAAATGCACCGAGGGGGGGTCAGCTGCCTTTCCCACCGCCTGCTTCCTTCCGCCTGCGTTTCGGCCCTAGGCTGGCAGGGGTGGGGACTCATCGCTTCCTCTTCCCATTGTGTTTCCTGTGCCCGGCCTTGGCTGGATTCTTCAAGTCTTGAGGGCTGGTGGGGGTGGGGGGGTTGCATCTTGCTAACTTGGCACCTTCCCTCCTGAGTAGGGAGTAAAGGGGGGAGGGGCGCACCATGGGCTAGTGCTGAAGGGCCAGGGGACGAGGAGCCCCAAGCCTTGAGCCATGGTTCAGGCTGACTGGGTTTCCATGGCAACGGTGCCTTGCCCCCCTCTTTCCACTTAGTCCCTCGAAGCTGTTATGTCTGTGTGTGATCAGAGCCAGGATGTGGCTTAAATGCCAAGGTCACTGGCAGAAGGTGGTCCCACGCTGGGACCAGGGGCACGGGTGGAGACTTGAGCAGCAGTGACACCCTGACCCAGCCCTGCTCTGCCCCTCCTGTGTGGGTGGTGCCCATTGTCATCTAGGTGGGACCCAGGGCCCCTGTGTGCAGAGCTGCCTTGCAGCCCTTGTGAGCTGCCCAAAGCTCCTTGGCCTTATTCATTTGTTTGGTTTGGGGCCCACCTGACAGTGTTCTGGGGCCCCTGTGGGGTGGTAGGATGGAACCCGGGTCAGCCGTGTGCAAGACGAATGACCTTAACACCTGTGTTGTCCCCCAGCCCATCCTCCTGCTGGGTCACTGAGGTCCAGTGGGTACCCACGACCCCAGATAGGGGTGTCCCCTGAAGTGCTGGGGCTACCTCACCCTGGGAAGGATAGAAGTGCCATTGTGGTGCCCAGGAGAGGAAGGAGACAGTGGCCCTGCGTCCTGCGCCCCGGCAAGGCACCCGCGCCTCCTCCCCCCACCCCCCACCTTGAGTCTTGTGTCAGCCATCTTTTATTTTGTTGTTTTGTCTTGCTTTGTTTCTGGGCCACACCCAGCAATATTCAGGGGCTTCTCCTGGCTGTGCGCTCAGGAATTACTCCTGGCGGGCTGCGGGGACCATAGGGGATGCTGGGGATCAACCCTGGGTTGGCTTCATGCAAGGCCAGCGCCTTCCCCTCTGTCCTGTCACTCCGGTCCCGTCATTGAAGATCAACAGTTCCGGGTTTTGGAGCTCAAGGCCACAGGTTGTGTGTGTCCATTGGGCTGAATCCCAGTAAATAAATTGAGATAAATCTTGGGTTCCAAGATAGGAAGGTGGGGGCCAGAGAGGCTGCTCAGAGATCAGTGCACAGGCTGCGCGGATGGGGTGGGGAGGGCCCAGAAACAGAAGAAGAGAGAGGAAGCCCGAGTGGCCACAGAGGACTGTCAACTAGATGTTTTCTGAGCGGCCTGCTGGGGGGCCCTCCCGGCAGCAGCCCCTTGTGAGAACGAGAGCTCTCGGCTCATTCACCTCAGGGACGTACAGCATCTTCCTACATGGCACCCTTCCGAGGAGTTTTTGGGTACCTGTCAGTTCTTCTGGGAGCTCCTGTGGACAGGTTCAGTCCTGAGACTGGTTCCCCAAGAAGCCTTGGAGCCCTTTTGTCTGCCCCAAAATCCCAATCCTGACGGGGCACCTCTCCCAGTGCTGGGGGTTGGGAGACCCTTTTGGGTGTCAGGAGACTCCCGCTGTCCCCAGGAGCCCCTGTAGTCAGGAGGTACATGAGCAGCCCTGTGTTCAGGGAGAGGACAGTCCACTGTCTGCTCAGGAGGCAGAGCCCAGCCCCAGGGGCAGCCCCAAGAGTAGTGCCTTTGATGGTCGTGGCACTGGACAGCCTTACCCCGGGTGTGGACAGTGCTGAACACCCCCCCAGATGGCCGTGACCCGTGCCCCTCCCCCCACAGAGATCAACGACCGTGAGCAGAAGCTGCACGCACTCAAGGATGTGCTCCGGCGCTTCCCGCGCGAGAACCACGAGGTCTTCAAGTATGTCATCTCGCACCTCAACAAGTAAGTGGGGTCAGAGCTGGGTGTGGGGGCGTGCCCGACAGGGATGCTGACACGCCTGTCGCCCCCCAGGGTCAGCCACAACAACAAGGTGAACCTGATGACCAGCGAGAACCTATCCATCTGCTTCTGGCCCACGCTCATGCGGCCCGACTTCAGCACCATGGACGCGCTGACGGCCACGCGCACCTACCAGACAATCATCGAGCTCTTCATCCAGCAGTGCCCCTTCTTCTTCTACAACCGGCCCATCAGCGAGGCCCCCGGCGCCGCGCCCAGCTCCCCGTCAGCCCTGGCCGCCGCCGTGCCCTTCCTCACGTCCACCCCGGTCACCAGCCAGCCCTCCCCACCCCAGTCCCCGCCGCCCACCCCGCAGTCCCCGCTGCAGCCCCTGCTCCCCACGCAGCTGCAAGCCGAGCACACGCTGTGAGCCCCGGGACTGGTGGGCGCGGCGAGGTAGGGTGGGGGGCCGCCCCGGGATTGGGCGCCCCGCAGGACTGAAGGGCCGGTCCCAGGTGCGCACCCCGCTCCCCACCCACTGGACAGAGCCCGGGGTGCATGCCCCCAGAGAACATGCCCCGTCTGTGGGGTCGGTCCCTGCCCGGGGCACAGCCTGGCCGGCCCCTCCTGGGGAACACTAAGTCAGCCGGCGCCGTGCCCCCCAGGTACGCTGCTGAAGGCGCTAGCACGGTGGGGGTGGGGGTGGGGGGCAGCGGGGTGCCTGGACCGGAAGAGTGCACGCCCCCGGCCCCCCCCAGGCTTCGGGACACAATCCCCTCCAACAGGAACACTGGAAGGAAAGCAAGAGCCCCCCGGGACCCACAGAAGGAAGAACTGCAGACCTGGGGGGCGGGGCGGGCAGGCGTTTGAGAGCAAAACTGGGGTGCCGGAGGCTGCCCGCCACCGACCCTGGCTCGGGCGCCTGCTTTCCACTCACTACAGAGCTACGGAACGTTGCTGCTGCTGCTGCTGCGTGTGTGTGTGCTGCGTGCGTGCCCACGCGCCCTGCAGGCAGGGTCCGCCCGGGGACCGCGGGGAGGGTGCTCGGGGGTGCCCGGCGAGCTGGGGGTGGGCTTAGTGTTGGCTGTGTGGGAGTGAATCCATTTTCTTCACTGAAGCCGGGGGCAGGAAGAGAGGAGCCCTGAGGTGTGGGGGCAGCCGGACGCCCCAGCGTCCCCCTAGCTCCCCCCTCCCCAAGCTGCTCACCGCGGAGAGGGCGGGGCCGCGGCCTGTGGGTCCCTTTGCACTTTACGCAGCAGCGCCTGTGGCCCTGCGCCCCCAGCCCCCCAGCCCCGCACTTGCGCCCTGCTGCCGGCAGGGGGTGCGCTAGCCTCCCGTGACTCTCCTGCAGCCCACCAGGTGCTTGGAAAATGGGGCTCTCATCCCTCACCCCCGTTCTCCTGCAGGGTTCCCCAGGGGTGGATTCCTGCTGCTGGCGCTGTGCTGGCCTGGCCCGGGGACTGCCTGGCTCTGCTCTGCCCTAGGACCAGAGAACAGACACCCATGCTTGTTCCTGCCAGCCAGGCGAGGGGTCGCTCTGTGTGGGCATCACCACGGGGGGCAGGCGTCAGTCCACAGGGACCCCCGTCCTTGCACGCACACAGCCCTGGGAGCTGGTCCCAGAGGGCTCCCCGCCCCCACCTCTAGGTGAATGGGGGGTTTCCCCAGGTGCCAGAACCCTGACCTGGCACGGGGGGCTCACGGGGCCAGTCCTCCACAGGGTGTTGTGAGGGCGCAGGGAATAGTGGGGAGCAGCCCTGAAACGAAACCCACGAGCACACAAAGAGCAGAGGGAGCCAGGTGCCCCCCCGCCCTCCTGGGGGACCACACTACTTGGGGGGTCATCTGCTAGGCAAAGGGCTCCCTGAGGGTCCCCTTGCTCGTCCCAGTATGCCCTCTGACCCCGGCTGCTGTGGGACCTCTGCAGGCCCCAGGCACACGTGCTTGGGAAAAGGACCAGGACCCTCCATCCAGGCTGGACCCCAGGGGTTCCACTTACTGCCTCCCAGGGGTCCCGGCCGCTGCATCGTCCCACGTCGCAGTGACAGGGCGTAAGTTATTGTTTGCATAAAAGAATCATGTCTCCTGTGTACATTTAAGAAAAGGAAATGTGGGATTGTCTGGGAATAAAACGTCTGAAAATTCGGAACAGTGCTGCCGCCAGCTTATTTTTCTGGTACTTGTATTTTTCACCTGTTAAATGCTCTCTCTATATGTTGAATAATATATTTTGAGTTTCCTGAGAACAAACACACACATGAATGGGACTGATTGGTGTTTGTAGGCTGGCCGCAGAAGTGGAAAACTGTCAAGTACAACAAGTATTTCTTTGTATTTGGGGGGTTCGAATCCGGACGCAGAGCCGGCGTTAGGAATGTTCGCTTCATTTCCAGCCTTTTTTGTTTGGGCTCTTTTGTTTTGTTTTTTTTGGACTCGTCGTGGGGTTGTGCTGGAGGGCTGAAGCCAGGCTTCTCGGAGAGGTGTTTCTGTTTGGTTTTGTTTTTGAAAATCATGTATTTGCTACCAAGTATTGTACTTGTCTCGATGGGAACGGTGTAAAGAACTGAAAGGCCTTATGTGACATGTATCATAGTTAATAAATCAATCTTGTACAAAATGCCCGGAGAAGTGAAGATCCCCCCCCCCCAGGCTTCCCTCAGCCTTTGTTAGCAGAGGAGGAGCACAGTGGAGACTGTCCCCCGCCTGCCTTATGTGCACAAGACCCCCCACCCACCCTTGCAGGTATCACATGACCCACAGGCCAACTCTATCCCAGTGATCCAGGATGCCTCCAGCCCCAGTTTGACCCCCAGCATCCTGTGGTTCAGTTCTGGAAGCCCCCGACCTCTGGTGGGGTGACCTACTAGGCCGGTGCACGAGTCTCCTGAGAATCTGAACACAAAGTGAAGTAAGTCGGGGCTACAGGGGTGGCTCTAGTGGTGTCACCCAGTCCCCACATTGCCTCCCACACACACTCTGTGGCCCAAAGAAAAACCCCAGGGGACCAGAGCCATAGTCCAGTGGAGAGGGTGTTTGCCTTGCACATGGCTGACCCTGCACCCCATATGGTCCCTGAGTCTGCCAGGAGTGATCCCCAAGTGCAGAGGCAGATGTCACCCAAAAGGGCAAAAACCAAAAAAAGAAATAAGGGCCAGGGTAGGGGCTTTCCGCAAAGCTGCACAGTGGCCCTCTGGAGTGCAGGTGACCTTGTGAGGCACCCGGGGAGGCACTGGAACCCCTGCCTGGGCTGTCCCCTGGCCTCACTCTGGACGCTCCAGCTCCCAGCACTCCCATCTGCCCCACATTCTCGGTCCCCTGCCCCCTAGCCATGCCACTATCCGTCCCCTCCAAGCCAGAGGTGCCACAGGGTCCCCCGGCTGCCCCACAGCCTCCTTTTGCTTCCCCCTGAATCTCAAATCCCATTTTCCTCCACACCCAGGTCTCCGTGGCTTCAGGTAACCAAAGTAGCCTTCCACAGTTGGCATCATGTACCCCGCAACGCCTTCCACAGCTCGGCTCTCATGTGCCCCCAGCACTTTCCAGGGCTCTCCAGGGCCCATAGTGGAAAGTTACCTCCTCTTGCTGTTGCCTCCCCTGGCCCAGTGCCTTCCCTGACACCCACATCCCCGCTGAACCCCTCCCAATCCCTGCATAACTGGCTTCCTTGGAAGAGGTCTGGACCGCACTCCCCAGAGCCCACTGTGAGATGGGGAGTTTTGCCGGCAGTGATGATGTGGGCTCCCCAGACTAGCAGCACACTTGGTTTTTTCGTTAGTTTGTTTGGAGGACCCCAGCTCAGGAGTCTCTCCCAGCCAGGAACCTGTAGTGCCAGGGATGAGCCCCGGCCCTTCGCCCAGAATGCTACCCCCACAGGGACACTCACAGCTCCATACCCGAACCCTCGTGGGAGAGGTGACATAGGTGTGCTGGCAGTACCTGGTATGTGGCCAACCTCGATTCCATCCCTGGTACCAGGAGTAACCCCAAGCACCACAAGTGGCCCAACCTTCAATACCAGATCAGGTACCCCAATAGTAGGTGTGCCCCAAGGCATACCCTAGTAACAGATCATGTTCCCCATTCACACATTTCCATAGCACCCCAGACACACCTGGGGTTGATGTTGAGCCAAATGGGATGTTGGGGGGTGAGGGAGCATGTGGGTTGAGGGGAGCCAAGCTTCCCTTAAGGATGTCTGGAAGACTTCTTGGAGGAGGTGCTGCTGCAACAGACCAGTACCAGGAGATGAGTGAGGTACTTGCTACAGGCACAAACCAGGAACCCAAAATCAGGGGTCAAGGTTAATAACGGGAGAGATAGTAAAGGAGTAGGCCATTGTCTCACATATGGCTGACCCAGGTCTGATCCCCAGCACCACAGTGGTCCCCCAAATCCTGCCAGTAATGACCCCTGAGCACAGAGCCAGTATTAAGTCCTGAGCACATCAAGTATGGCACAAAAACATGTTTCAAGAACATGTTTGTGTAGGGTTTTCTTTGGGAGGGGGATGGGAATTATTTGTCTTTTGGGGTCACACCCACTGATGCTTAGGGCTTACTCCTGGCTCTGCACTCAGGAATTACTCCTGGCAATGCTTGGGGACCACATGGAATGCTGGGGATGGAACCCGAGTCAGCCACGTGCAAAGCAAATGCCCTCCCACTGTACTATTGCTCCGGCCCAATGTTTTAAAGATGTTTATGTTTTAAAAAATGTGGGGCCAGAGCAATAGTCAGCCAGGAGGGCGCTTGCCTGGCACATGGCCTACACGGTCTGATCCCCAGCATCCCATATAGTCCCCTGAGCACTGCCAGGAGTAATTCCTGAGTTCAGAGCCAAGAGTAAAATCGAGTATATATATGTACTTTGAAAACTGGGGGTCAGGGAGGGAGCTCAAAGTGGTAGTAGAGTGGGTAAGGCACTTGCTTTGCATCACAGACCTCAGTGGGAATATCTGGCATCTCATATGACCTTCAGCACCACCAGGGGTCATTTCCAAGCACAAAGCCAAGAACAGCTCCTCCACACCTTGGAGGAGTAGCCGCAAAAAAGGGGAGATGACTTAGTGGGCTGGAGCTGCAGATTCAATCCTTGCCACCACCACGTGGTCCTCTGAGCATGACTGGCTTGGGTCCCCCACAAAAATCAGAAACAAAAAGCAGAGGGTCCGGGCCGGAGCGATAGCACACGTTTGCCTTGCATTCTGCTGACCCGGGTTCGATCTCCAGCATCCCATAGAGTCCCCTGAGCATCACCAGGACGATAACTAAGCACAGAGCCAGGAGTAACCCAAGTATCTCCAGGTGTGACCCAAAAACCAAAGGGTCCAGGAGTGTGGCACATGCCTTGTATTGCGAGGCCCACAGCAGGACAGGAAAACTCCACAGTGCTCAAGCAAGGACAGTCACAAGTCACCGCAGGACATACAGCGGGGACAGTGACAGAGGTGGGATAGCAACGGCGCCTGGGTGGGAGTGCCTGGGTTTTCTCAGCCCGCAGCTTAGAAGAAGGACAAGGGTGTTTGGTTCCTACTCAGCCCCACCGCCCT